ATCATGCTACAATGGATAGAGTGGTGTGCCTTCTAGAGAAACTGCTTTCCACTCAAGAGAAGAGCCGAGGGAGAGGGAAGAGTCGACCATCAACATCTGCCCTCCCTAATGATTTCCCATGTAAGGTGTGTAACGAGCAGGGTCACACTATGCAATCACACTGCTTTAGAGATGGCCTGTGTTTCAGTTGTCACAAAAATGGCCACAGGGTGTTTGAGTGTCCGGAGAGGAAACCAGGTACAGTAAGAAAACCCACTCCTTCTGGGCCAAGTCACAATTTAAACTAGAATGCCCATACCAGGAGGGGGTCAGTGTGGGCGAAGCAATAACTCCCCCAAAAGCCACAATCTTTGATCATCAATCCCAAGCAGAGAGGCCCACTAGCAGTTGTAACGTTGTGTATCAGAAAGTCGTCAGCAACGACAGTCTCTTTTATGCACCAATACTAGTACAGGGTTCTGTTGAGCTTAAAGCTTTAATAGATAGTGGGTCTTTGGCCTGCACCTTAAGTGAAGTAGCCGAACGCAAGCTAATCGATGAAGGGGTCCTACAAAGAGAATCAAGTAAACCCTCTAAGATAATACTTGTCGGGTGTGGGGGAAAGCAGACACCACCCAAATGTGAATATGAATTAAATATTGACCTCTTCAAATGCAAAATGGCAGTGCCTGTGCTTGTAGTACCTGGCCAAGTGGACGACATGATTGTAGGGTCAAATGCCATAAAGCATGTGATGCAACATCTGAAAAAAACACAGTGGTATTGGGACAACCTTTCTCAACCTGCCACAGATGATTCAGAAGGACTCTTGATGAACCTGTTAGCCAATGTAGATCGGTGGCAAGGCAAGGAAATACCCAAAAGAGTGGGTACAGTAATTCTAAATCAATGTATTACTTTGGCCCCGCGACATGAGCACCTGGTATGGGGGAAATTGAAAGAGCAAGTACCCTTATCCATTGGCAGCACTGTTGTTGTAGAGCCCACAACGTCTAAGTCTGCACCGAGAAATGTACTAATTGCTCGTACAGTGTGTCCCTTGTGGGGAGACAAATGGATTCCAATGAAGGTAGTCAATTTACTAGATCGCCCTCTCACACTTAGACGAAATACCAAAGTGGCACAGGTTTACCCTTGCCTAGCATTAGAAGACCTAGAAATAACGTGGTAATGAAGATGATTCAGAAGTGATTCAATGCACATGTGTCGTCAATGCAGCAGAGGAGCCAATGGTTGGGTCTGGATACTCAGGAAAGCTTCATGATTTAGGCCTACATCAAATAGATATCCAGTCATGTGACGTGTCTGAAGAATGGAAGGAAAAAATGGCCAGCCTTGTTGTTAAATACGAATCAATTTTCTCCCGGGATAGACTTGACTGTGGTGAAGTGAGGGACGTAGTACATCAGATTAGACTGAAGGACGAGAAACCCTTCAGGTTACCATACAGGAGAGTTCCACCATCACAATTTCAGAAACTTAAGCAGACACTTGATGAGATGGCGGAGAAAGGGATCATTAGTAAGTCCAGCAGCGAGTGGGCTTCTCCACTTGTATTAGTCTGGAACCCTTCTGGTGAACTGAGAATTTGTACGGATTTCAGATGGTTGAACCAGAGAACTGAAAAAGATGCTTATCCACTTCCTCATCAGGCTGATGCCCTTGCTGCCTTAGGTGGTAATTGCTATTTCAGTACCATGGATCTTACATCTGGGTTCTATAATATACCCATGCACGAAGACGATCGCAAATACACAGCGTGTACTACACCTGTAGGGCTTTATGAGTACAATCGAATGGCCCAAGGGTTGTGTAATAGTCCAGCTACATTTGCTAGAATGATGACCTCAATATTTGGGGATCAAAATTACATGTCACTCCTGTGTTATTTGGATGACCTCTTGGTTTTTGGCAAGAGTGAACAAGAAGCCCTGGCTCGTCTTGAGCTGGTATTTTAACGCTTGAAAGAACATAATCTGAAGCTAGCCCCAAAGAAGTGCTACTTCCTAAGGAAATCTGTCAAATTCTTAGGCCATATAGTCACAGCAGAAGGCATTGCTGCGGATCCTGCAAAAGTTTCTGCAATTAATGAGATCACAAAAAAAGATCTAATGGAAGAAGATGGGAAAACACCTTCCTACACCAAGGTCAAATCTTTTCTAGGCATGGCCAATTATTATTCACACTTTATTGAGAATTTTTCACGTCTGGCAAAACCATTATTCCAGCTAACGGCGGGGCAGAGGGTTAAGCGCAGAGGTGCAAAGGTCAGTGCCAAGCCATACAGATGCCTCAGGCCAGAAGACTGGACATCAGATTGTGAAATGTCATTGGAGGAGCTTAAGAAGGTTATTAGCACCACCATAGTGTTGGCTCACCCTGACTTTGATAAGCCATTTCTGTTATTTACTGATGCCTCAGTGGATGGCTTGGGTGCAGTTCTAAGTCAGATAGTTGATGGTGAGCTCAAACCAAGACCAGTTGCATTTGCAAGCAAATCCTTGTCCCGCTCTCAAGCCAGGTACCCAGCACATCGGTTAGAATTCTTTGCACTTAAATGGGCGGTGTGTGATAAGTTTGCTCATTGGTTAAAGGGGGCTCGCTTCACAGTACTAACTGATAATAACCCATTAACATACATCATGACCAAACCCAAGCTAGACGCTTGCGAGCAACGGTGGGTCTCAAAGTTAGCGCCTTTTGACTTTGATCTTAAGTACATTCCAGGATCACAGAACATCCCAGCAGACCTCCTGAGTCGTGAGCCGTTTGCAAAAAGGATTAGAATAACCAAACCAGGCAATAAAGCAAATCACATGAGCCTCGAATCTGTCCAGAATGCATTCAAGCTATCTGTCAATTCTCAAGAGCAACATAATGGCGAGAATGAATGTAGAGTCAGACAAGAAGTGGGAATGGAGGAGGTGAAAGCCATTATAGAGTCCAGCCTAGACTGGGATTCCACCTTACCAGTGCGCGTAGCCCAGTTGTCCCAGTACTCAAGCCATGTGTCATGTGGTCTGCCCACCCTTCCAGCGTTTACTGTTGCGGAAATAAGAAAGAAGCAAAGAGAAGATGATGTGGTGGTACGGGTGATCTACTTCCTTGAGAGAAAAAGACGGCCCTCACGGAGAGAGAAGGTTCACGAGACGGCTCAGGTGCTCCGTATGTTGAATAATTGGGAAAAGTTGGAGATAAGAGATGGAGTCCTTTATAGGAGATCTAAAGATAAAGTTGGAAAGAGAAGGTATCAGCTTGTAGTGCCTAGCTCTCTGAAGTCAACAGTCTTAAGGGGCACTCATGATGATGTAGGCCATCAGGGCCAGAGTAGAACCCTCCATCTAGTCCGTCAACGATTTTTCTGGAGTGGCATGGACAACGAGGTGAGAAAGTATGTGACACACTGCAAACGATGCGTCCTCAGCAAGACGCCCGAGCCAGATGCCAGGGCACCTTTGGAATCAGTCAAAACTAGTGAACCATTGGAACTAGTGTGTATTGATTTTTGGTCTGCTGAGGGGAGAAACGGAGACAACGTGGATGTACTTGTTCTCACAGACCATTTTACCAAATTGGCACATGCATTCCCTTGTCCTAATCAGACAGCAAAAGTTGTGGCCCAAAAACTCTGGAACCAATTCTTCTGTGTGTATGGATTTCCTCGCAGGATCCACTCTGACCAAGGAGCGAATTTTGAGAGTAGACTTATATCTGAGCTGCTGGAAGTATCAGGAGTAAGGAAATCTCACACCACCCCCTACCACCCTATGGGAAATGGCCAAACAGAAAGGTTCAACAGAACTCTTGGCAACATGATTCGCTCGCTCCCCGCTAAAGCAAAAGCGCACTGGCCCCAGATGATACAAACATTAACTTTTGCATATAACTGCACAATACATGAGACTACTGGCTTTGCCCCATTCTACCTCATGTTTGGCAGAGTCCCAAGACTGCCAGTGGAGATTATGCTTGGGAGTGTGCTGAGAGACAATGAAGTGGTGGATTATGATGACTACGTCAAATCATTCCAGAAAGACCTAAAGGAAGCTATCAGGATTGCTCAAAGCAGCACAACACAGGCTCAGACGAAGCAAGCTGAACAGTACAACAAACGAGTCAAAGGTGTTGCCTTGGAGATTGGAGACAAGGTTCTGTTGGCCAATCGTAGGGAACGAGCAAGAGGGTAATTGGCGGACCTGTGGGATTCAACTGTTTATGTAATCAAATGGAAAGATCCTAATGTGCATGTTTACAGAGTTGAGGATCCTGTCACAAAGAAGAACAAAGTAGTTAATAGGAACTTCATACTGCCTGTGAATTTCCTTCCAATCGGCCAGGGTGGTACCCTGCATACAAGGTCTGGGAGAATGGTGAAGCCAGTACGGAGATTGATTGAATCCATGAGTTTGTTGATGGCTGAACCTGGAAAAAAAGAGACTCTTACTGCTTTGATGCAGATGCTGTCCACCTTTGTTGAAATATAATGTGATGTATGATCTTACAAGAAGGGACATAATGCAGTTAAAAGAGGTTGTTAAATACAGTTTGTAAGAAAAGTGTAAAAAAAGAAAAGAAAAAGGGGAATAACATTTAACTGATCTGTGGATATATGTATATGGGCATTTATCTACCTGGCAGTTTAATCTGCAGTCTTCAAAGACGACTTCACGTCATGGTTTTAAGGTCATGTAAGGAAAAAGGTGTCCCCTTTCATAACTTCTTCCCTGTTCCGTAAAGTTTGATGAAATTGGGCAGGGTGAATGTAATGGTGTGAAAGTGTTATAATTCATCAAACTTTGTTTGTTACTTTGGTTAAGAAAAACCAAGTGCAGAAAGACTGGGTAAGGGATGATCCATGGTTTCATTATGGGGGGGGGTTGGGAGTATATATACAATTATTGCAGAATGGAAATTGCGATTTTATCACACCGCGTTTAATCTTGGTGTTTATCGAACATTATAATCACACTACTTTCTTGTACTGCATATGTTATGTTCTTTTGTGTTGCTGATGTGGTATACCCCTCTCTTCGATCAATGGTATATTCCCCTGGTGCTGCACTCTTCAGTCTGTGTGAAACATTCTGAAGAGAGGTATGTGTCTCTGTTAATGGACAACTCAAACATGTTCCTAGAGCATATTAAATAGAAGTTACAATGAAATCAGAACAAAATATTTTGGTAATACCGTTGTTGACCCTGTTATGTGTAAAATTAGAGGTTGTACATGTTTAATACTTGCATAAACTGTATCGCTTTAAACCTGCGATTGTGTCGTACTTCCATGAACGGTACAACATCTGAAATATCAGTTTATGTCCTGTGTTCATTCTCATGAGTATGATGGTGCTTGTTAATGTTAATTGAGTTTCATTTTACATGTTACATTTTGTTGACGCGAGTGGTTAATTCCTTGCTGCACAATGTGAGATGCCCGCCAGTAATCGGCGGTGCATTTTGGGTAATGTAGTTCATGACTCAAAGCATGTTATATGTGTTAAAGAGAAGAAATGGAAACTGAGTTGTTACTTTGGTATTGTAAGTCGCCTGCATATTAGAAAAATGGGGCAATGTACTAACTAAATGATGTATTTGCAGATTGTGAAACCAGAACAGATGATTGTTGTAACACTGTCCCATTTCATGCTTGCAGGTATGAGTTATTGTGTTCATTTTGTTTTATTATTGTTTTATTAATTTTCAGTGTTCATAAATCATATTAATTATATATAAAAATGTGCCTTTGGTGTAATGCATTATATTGAGTGGAACAATTATTCAATTACAGTTACTGTAAAGAAAACAACCTGTAACATGAGTCTGTGTGAAACATTCTGAAGAGAGGTATGTGTCTCTGTTAATGGACAACTCAAACATGTTCCTAGAGCATATTAAATAGAAGTTACAATGAAATCAGAACAAAATATTTTGGTAATGGGGTATATCAGCGCTCGAGTTGAAGCTGCTTCATCGAGCCCCTCATCAGTGGATAGCAAGCCAAATAAGTTAAACGTAATTTCCTAAAGATTATATGGGCAAATGAACTAAATAGTATTTAAAGAACAAGATATGACTTAATCTTTAATATACATTAAAGAAAAGCCAAACAGAATGATACCAAACAGTGAGGAAATTTTAAGCCTATGATGCATGAGAATTTCACTGTTAATGATTATCTTGTGACATATTTAAATTCTTATAGTTGTTCATCTCTGTTTAAGGCATGTGTTTGAAAACTTTATGCTATGATGTATGTGAAGGCTAATGTTCTTTATTCCCCACTAACAACTTGGCTGACATGCTCCAGGAACTCAATGAAGTCTTGACTCTCTTCTCCCTGCCATAATGATGAAGTTCTTACTTGCTGTGGAAAGCTTTGATCTTTGCTGGCTCTGGATTAATCAGTGACATGCCAAAACTCTTAAGGGCTTTTTGCAATATAACATAGTATACAAAATATTATATGGTCATATTTGACATTTTCCGACTCAAACATTGAAATGACTGTTTCTACAAAATGTGGTTTTCTGTAACTGTCCAAAGCATCTGAATATGAGGCACGTGATTGGATGTCTGTTGCTAAGCATCTAGCTGTAACATTCTAACATGTCATTTCACACTGTACAATTTTGGCACTGCAGTGTGGGGTTAACACTGCAAAAACAGCACTAACCATGCTCCGGAGCCGGGCCTCAACCCTGGGTAAAAAGTGGAGCCAACCCACTTCTAAATTATGTTTATCATGGCTTCAGTAATTATAGAACATCAAAATGATCTCTATTTAAAATATCTAGACATTTTAAGACTGCAACATTGCTGTCCTGAAGCAAACAAGGAGAAGTAAGAGAGAATCCAAGTACCGTTTTATTCAAAATAATAATCCAAAAACAAACTATGAACTACTTAATCCAAGACATAAACAAAACAGATCATGTGACAAGAATTACAAAATTGACCTGAACTTAGTACATGAACAAAACTCCAGACAGATGTGACATATCCTTCCTCAAAGGGCAGCTCCTGACACCCTAACAGGACACCAGCTACAAAAAAAAAGTCCAGGAGGATGGTGGAGCAAAGGAGGTACAGGGAGAGGGATGGAGGGTCAGGCCCATGAAGTGGAAGTGGGCCTGTATCATGAAGCATTGGACAAGACCATGGAACAGAGGCAGGTCTGGACAGTGGAGCAGAGATGGGCCTGCATCATGATCTAAGATCATGGAGGGTCAGGTGACCATTGGAGATTAGGAGACCATGACAGAGCAGAAACATGGGCAACCTTCCTGGCCGTGACAGAGAATGCATGGACAGCTTCCATGGCTGTGTCAGAGAAAATGTAGGTGGCTTCAGTGGCCATAGCTGAAGAGGCATGGGTAGCCTCTTTGATTGTGACACAGCAGGCATAGATGGTCTCCATGGCTGTATCAGAAGAGGCATGGGTGGCCTTATTTGTCATGAGATAACAGGTCTGAATGGCCTTTGTGGCCTCAGGAAAGTGTGTGCAGTGCAAACAAACAAGATGGCAGTAACAATGACTGGGACTACCAGACTTGGGACTAAGGATGTGGCATCTGGCTTGTAGCCTATAACAGTCGAAGGCACATGGTCTGTCACAGACATGATGACTCTGGTGTAGCAGCTATGACATGGAGGAACTCTAGTATGGCAGCTATGATATGGGAGGACTCTGGCATGGTGGCCATGATGTGGGAGGACTCAGGTGTGGCGCCTATATTGTTAGAGGACTCTGGCGTGGCTCGCAAAGATGGAGTCCCTTGTGATGCCATGTTGAAATAAGTACCCATGCCCATTTTCCTGGATGACAATGCCAGGATTCATCAAGCTCAAATTGTGAAAGAATGATTCAGGGAGCATGAAGAGCCTGATGAATCTTGGTATTGTCATCCTGGAATATGGACATGAGTACGTCTTCCAACGTTTGAAAAATAAAAAAGCTTATCAGTTAGTTAATTAGCTAAAGCTAATCAGTTAGGATTAAAAGAATTGTTGTGAAACATACAACATGCCAGGAACATATTAATTACTGCAATAATTATTCAATCCCAAAATTGTATGTATTTGTTTATGCACAGTAGGGCTGTGACAGTAGCTGTGACAACCACGTCAACCTTTATCTTGCCACCTGCGGTAGTGCACGTGACGTCACACACTCTATAACAAGCATAATACAAAGTTTTGTATACAAGTGTAATAATAGTAACAGTTTTTAGACTATAAGTCTATGCTAATTCACAAATTACCTCAAACGCCATACACGGTGTTTGATCCTTTAGATTGGCAGGTTTGAGCGCAGGAAAATACAGTACAGAATACAGAAACCAAATACTACATCGCCAATCTGGAATCATTTCCATTCATATCACTCATCCGCATTTGTATAAGTGTCTTCAAGTTCACATGATCGCAAATGCTCGGCTGGTCAGGTTTGTATTTACTGCATTTAGTGTTTGAAAAAAAAAAACATGAATTACCATTCTGAAACATCCTGTTGTAAGCGCGTTTGAGGAGGTGGTTGGTTGTCTCCTATCGTCGCCGATTCGGGGTCTGAGTTAGGTTCAAACATTTAAGTCCGGACAACATTTCCCTCAGCAGTGACCATCATTACCGGTGTTTCTATTGACCTTACTTGTGAATATCACCAATCCACAGCAGGCTACAGCATACATGACCCTACTTACCTGTGGTTGGCCTGGCCATGTGTCACTCAGAAAACAACAGGCCAATCAGAAGAGAGGCTCATGAATATTAATTAGACATGCCAAATCGACCTGTTCTTTGCAGAGCTACTGAGAGAGGAGCTGTAAAAATATATTGAGATGGTTTTTTGGTACTTATACCGCAACTATATAGTCTTAAGGACATCAAGACTTAAAATAAAACTCTATAAATGTGTAAAATATGTGACCTTTAATCAAAGTAACTCATAATGTAAGTCAGTAATGTGTTTGGCCCCCACGTGCCTGTATGCACCCTTACCAAAAAGAAGTATACTTCAAGTTTACTTTATTAAATATGCTGAAGTAAAGTTCAAGTATATTTTAAATATACTTTATGTAGTAAGTATACAAATATCAGTGTACTATTTCAATACTCCTTGGGACTAAATTTGCCCCCTTTCTAGTATATAAAAGTATACTTTTAAGTATACTTTTAAGTATAACAGTAGTAAACTTTGAGTACACAAACTAGTTTACATCTATGTTTTTAGTTTGTACTGCAACTATATTAAAGGTGAACTTATAGGTATACTGATAGTTTACTAATTAAATACTTGTAGCATTTTTAGTACACTTTGAAGTATAGTCTCAGTAAACTAGTAGTTTAGTAGTTTTATACTAAACTTTAAGTGAACTTTACATCATACTTTAAGTATACTACTATGTCCCTATTTAGGTATTAATTTGTATATGTTTTGTAATATGGATATCTGAACATGCAAAACATCAAAAGAAAGAACAGGCTTGTAAACAAAAACATTTTATTTTAGCTTCATGCATTCTTTTTTGTAAACACTTGAATGTGGGTAAGTTTCATAAATAAAAAAAATAAAGACATAAATAAACAACATTTTGAACAAAAAGCTGAAAAAAAGACTATGAATTGGATTCAGAATGATAATCAAAATGTAGAAGTCGATCAACACCTCAAAGTTCTTCATGGGTCGATATTTTATTCCATAACGTTACACAGTTTTGATGCTGTTTTATGTCTGATGATCGTGTTAGATTACAGCTGTGTCCCAAAGTTAAGTGCACACATTTCGAAGGGCACGGACTTCGAAGGCCATGCCTCCAAAATGCACGAAGAACCCTCCGAAGTGCATGAAGGATGCTCCGCCTTTGCAGGATTTCCTAATTGCGCCACCAGAGGTTCCTAATTAGCGCTCTGTCGCATAGCATCGGTGCAAGAGGAGAGCTGATGAGAGGATGGTAATGTACCTCAGGCTTAGCCAAGACCAAGGCCAGGTAAGTTACACTGGTTTGCTGCGTCCTTTGTCGGATTACAACTTTAAATGCAGGCATTGGCCTGGAGCTTATTTGAATAATGTAATGATACATATGAAAAACTACAAAATACACACACACATAGCAGTTAAAATGCTGACTGATATCTTACAAAGGTGTGATATAGTTTATTGTCTTGACCATGGTGATCATATGTAGACAGGTTTGCAACCTGTATTTTTTTAGGCAGTTAAGCATAAAAATAAAACTGAATAAAAAAAAATAGAGCATAGTACAGCTCAATGTTCAGTGGCAGCTGTGACTGCTGGACAGTGCTCTGTATGACCGATCCGAGTCCTTCAGATGCAGCCTTTGATATAGTTAGCAAAAATGTGTTAATATTCTGACAAAATGTTG